CCCTTTCCCCAGGGGTTACATTGGGTGTGCACCCTTGGGGTTTTTCCCCAAATTATTTTTTTATTCCCGGGGGGGTGGGGGGGGAGCCCCCCGGGGGGAAAAAAAGTGCCGGGGGGGAATTTGGGCCCAGGGGGGGAAAAAACGTCTAGGGGTTCTAAAAAGGCGGGGGGGGTTAAAACCTTTTCCGGGTGCAAAAAACTTTTTGGGGGGGAAAAAGGGCCCAAATTTTTTTGAAAAAAATTTTTTGCCTTTTGGGGCCCCCCCCCCCCCCCTTCTTCTTCCCTCTGGGGTTCCCCGGCTTAAAGTTTTTACCCCCCCCCCCTTCCCCCCCCCCCCTTCTTTTCCCCCCCCCCCCTCCTTTCCTCCTCTCCCCTCCGTCCCAGCTCCACTCATCCCTCTCTCGCCCTCTCCTGCAGGTGCAGGGAAGATACGAAACGAAAATTGGTGGGCCTGCCCACCCCGGAGTGGTTCGACTCCACACAAACCCGAGACGGTGATGGGAGGCGTCGTACGATGATCTCAGGCCCAGTGAGGTAGTGCATCTGACTACCCCGGATCCTGCTGAACAAGCTCCTCTTGTAGCTCGATCGGTCACACCGCCATCGCCGTCGGGGAGAGGGGGGACGACACTGCTTCGGCAGCGTGCACCTCGATCCTGTACCGTGTTTGTTATGACCCCCCCCAATGAACACACCAGTGAGGGAGGGCGAGACGATCGAGGGGTCCCGTACCACGCGGAATCGGCCCTATCCAGTGCTCAAGTGCTCAAGACAGAACATGCTCTCATCGGCTCAGGGCGCGAGCGCCGCCGCGAGCTCGCTCTTGTCGCAGTTTGCGACATGGGCAAGCACGTGGCCGTGGCAGTCGTGCGGTGCACACCAGCAAGCGAGCACCTTGCCACGGAGCTCAGAGCGTGCCCGCGCGACCAGCCCCGGGCGATCTGCAAGCCACGCTCGGTAGCTGGCGATCACCCGGGCGCGCTCACCGGAGTCGATTCTGGTCATCTGGAGCGGATTGCCCCAGCCGCCGTCGCATCCGGCTGGAGCACCCGCACATTTGCGGCCGACGTACGTGTCGTACTTCTCGCCCCGCCGGCAGTAGACCACGAGGTGGCGGAACCCGCCTCCCAGCGGCTCCGGCGTGCGCTTGTCGACGTCATTGCGAGTGTTCGCGCAGCCGACGCCGGCCGCCAGCTTGTCGCGCTTCATGTAGTACATCCCCTAACGGCAGGGGAAGGGCGGTGGGGAGATGTGGGTGTTGCCACTGGAGATCTCGCACGCCATACGACCTGGTCTACTAGGCTTGCAGCCTTACCTTCCCGTTCGCAAGCGGATAGCGGATCGCATTCTCCTTGTCGTGGGTGGGCTGCCGCAGGCGGGAAGGCGGGCACGCTTTGCCGCGCTGCCTGGGACGGCGGTGCAGTATGGGGGCTGCAGGGCAGCTCACGAAGTAGCCGCGTTCCTTCTGCGGGGTGCTTGCCATGGTGCTGCGGTGCTGAGCGGGGAGCGGAGGGTCCGATGCGCTAGATGGATCGAGCCGAGAACGGCGGGTGGGGACACGAATGGGATCCCTGAACGTTTCCGCAGGCGGGAAGGCAACACGGAGTGGCGAACGGAATTAAGCTCCAACCGAGGGAGGGAGGCGCGTTCGGCGCTCGCTCACCGGCGCGTCGGACGATTGATTGCGTCGATCTCTTGACGAGGAACAAACAGGAAACAAGATCACATTAAGGAACTGGAGGCTGTGCTCAATGCCATGCCTCCATGAAGGAGACCCTCCTCCATTGACCGAGGCTCGGTGACTAGCGTACTCATCTGGCGTGGGAGATCCGCAATACCCCCCCAATGTGTGACTGGCCGCGTATCCGGCTTCGGATGGGAGAAAAGGAGCGCGAGCGGGTCCCCGCCCAGCGGTCTATGGGATCTTGTTCCTCTAGTCTTGCTGATCTCATCCATTTTTGATGCCCAGGACATTTGGCTTTCGCCCCCATCACACAAAAATCATTATTGTCTATTCGGATATTTTTTGCCCATACATACACACAAAATCATTGGACACACACATAGAGTAACTATCGAGACTCTCTCCTGGGGTGTGAACGTGAAGTGATCTGGGAGGGGGTCGCGTGGGGCTTCAGCCGTGGTGGGGATCAATCAGCCGTGTGCGCGCGTGCACCGCTCTAGTGGTTCAGCTGCTGTGCCGCCGCTGCTTCCGCTTCTCCGCCGGGGCCTCGGCGAGCATCGAGCGCACAGCCTCCCACTCCTGCATCCTCACCTCCAACCCGTCATCGCCGGCCGCCTGCTGCTCGCAGAGCTTCGCGTGGTACTTTGCTGCCTCGGCGGCGGGGGTGGTGCCCCACCGGTCCTTGGGCTCGCGCCTCACGTTCTCAATCGAGAGCAGGTAGACGACGCAATCCGTCTGCCCCTTCGCGCACGCCAAGTGGAGCGGCGTCCGCCCGTCGCGGTCGCCGTGGCCGAGGAGCGTCGGCCGCTCCCGCAGCGCGTGAAGGTTGCCCAGCGATGCCGCGTGCACCAGCCGGTGCACCAGCAGCTCCACCTGCTTGTCCTCGTCCGCCGCGTCTCCGTCGGCGACCGCCGCCACCGTCCGCGGCGCGGCGCCGTTGTCGCTGCCGTGGGCCCCTCCCTCCCTCCCGCCGTCCCTCGCGGCCTCCTTCCCGGCGTCCCATCGCCACGACGGCGACGCGGGCTCGGAGAGCACGCGGCCAAAGACGTGGTAACGCGACGCGGTGAGGCGCGCGAACGCGTTGCAAAACGCGAGGCCCCGCACCGAGTTGCCGTGCTCGTCGAGCCGCGGCGAGTAGATGCAGAAGCCGCCGACGCCGGGCACCACCAGCATCACCGCGCCGGAGACGCCCGACTTTGCTGGCAGGCCGACCGTGAAGCCAAACTGGCCGCTAAAGTCGTACATCCCGCAGCCGTGCATGATGGAGAGCACGTCCTTGACGATGTACGGGCTGACGACCGCCTCTCCCGAGGTGGGGCACGTGCCGTGATTGGCGAGCGTCGCTGCCATGACCGCGCCGACCTCGGAGTTGATCGTCACGGAGCAGGTCTGGAAGTAGAGGTCGAGGTGGTCTTGCAACTGAGAGGGGGTCGGGTAGCCGTCAAAGGCGCCGTGCTGTCGCATGTGGTAAGCCAGCGCGACGTTCCGGTCGGCGTGGTGCTTCTCCGACAGAAAGACCCCGTTGTCGAAGCCGATGTTGCCCGCACCGCCGCCAGAGAGGCGGCGGTAGAAGCCGATGACCTCGTCGAAGCGCGCGGCTGGCTCCTTTGCCGGCTCGATGAGGCTGGCCACGATGATGGCGCCGGCGTTGATGAGCGGATTGTGCGGGAGGCCCTGCGCGTTGAGACAAAACTCGTTGAACGCGCGGCCGCTCGGCTCGAACCCCACGTGCTCGTGCACAGGCGCGCCCCGTCCCGCCGCCTGCAGGTTGCGAGCGAGGCAGTAGTTGAGCGGCTTGCTCGTGCTTTGCAGACAATAGGTCGCACGGCTGTCGCCGACCGCTGAGATTCGGCCGTGGACGTCGCAGAAGGCCACACCGAAGAGGGCTGGGTCCGCCTGTGCGAGCTGAGGAATGTAGTCGGCCACGCTCCCGCTGCATTCGTGCCGGACCTCCTCAAACAAGTCGGAGAGCAGGCTGTGCAGAGCGTCTCCGGTTGTCTGGCGGCGGACGACCAGCGTGTCCTTGTCCTCGGTTGCCATGCTGCTCGACTCGACTGTCACGCGCTGCCGGCGCGGGGCCGCCGCGGAGCGCCCAGTCCAGAGGAGGAAGGAGGATGGAAGAGGATGGAAGAGAGCTATCACGCCTAGATTCATTTTCCCTTCTTTGTTCTAACACCCCCTTTTCCAGATTCAAACTAGCACCACGGCGCGAGCCGATCTGCTGGCAGTTAGCTCAGCTAGCACAGCGAGCTGTTGCGGCATCAGGGGCTCGACGGCGGCCGGCGGCACGGTGGCAGCAGGCGGATGCGATACGTACGGAGCGGCGGGCGCGGCTGAGCTGGAGCAGTCTTTCTTCCTCGAAGTTGCAACCTGTCCGCCGACTTTGATCGCTTGCATCCGCCCGCCGCGCGCAACACGCGCCCGCCTCGGCAGCCTCCGCTCCCTCGTCCTCCTCGCCCTCGTTTGTTCGCCATGGAATACGCGCTCACCCCGGGGCAGATCGACACCTTCCCGATCGGTTTTGTCTGGTACATCCTCCTCTTGATCCCCGTCCTCGGCACCTACATCTTCTCGTTTGCATACAACACGTGCGTCAAGTGTTGCTGCAACCTCAAGGCAGATGCGCCGTTCTACGAACAAAACTCGCGGAACGCAGTTTACTCAGGCACGCCGCGCGTGAATGGCCTCCCGCTCTCGTTGTGCTGCGGCCTGAAGGAGAAAGTGCACGGGGCAGCCTCCGCCGATCCTGAGGCGCCGGCCGCGTCCAAGTCAGAGAAGCCCGCCTATCCGCTCCCGACAAAGGCATACATCAGCTCGCTGAAGAAGGCTAACGGTCTCCTCTGAGCATGGAGCGCAGTGGCGTAGAGCGTAATGGCATGAGCACGCATTTTAGCGTGTTGCACCAGCCTCGCTTCGGTCTGTGCGTTCCGTCGGCTCTCTGCGCGCGTCCCCCCTGGCCATGAGACGATATTTAGGCCCCCTCTCGAGCCTCATCACGCTCGTGCCCCCCGATCATCGTGTGTGTGATTTTCTCCGGTTCGGACTCTCGACAGTGGTGTGAGTGTCGGCATTTCCCGGCGGTGTGTAAGATATTTTTCCGCGTGGTTGCGGCCGAGACCCCCGGAGTGTCGCGGGGGCTCGCGCGGGCCGGGGGGCGCGCGCGATCCCCCGCCGCCCGTGGGCCTTCAAATGGTTGAATCAGCATTGACCCCCGCGCGCACTCCCGGCAGAGGACACAGACATGCGCATGCGGCATGGGTACCGTTCGGCGCTTCAAGAGAAGCAGGGCTTCAGCTTGTCCCACTCCGCGTGGACGATCCAGGCCATCATGTCGGCAAGCAGGTTTGTCTGCAGCGGCGTGAACTCCATCAGGCCCTTGTTCTGCCTGATCGTCGCAAAGTTGGGAAAGCTACCCGGCGTGTTGACGCTGTCCACGTCGCCATTGAGCACCGCCTCGAGGGTCGCCGGCGGCACCTTCTCCAGCCACTGGCGAGGCGCATGGTTCCAAATGACGGTGTAGTTGCACGTGTACGGCGTGACTCCGTGGAAGGTGTTGGCGTGCACCTGGCAGAGGCCGGCGAGGTGGTGCGTGGGTGAGGAGAGGCGACAGCGGTTGACGGGGAGAGGGAGAAGGAGAGTGTGTGCATGGGGTCGGAGCGCAGACGGAGTTCTTAGGGGAGTGAGGTCGTTGTCGGCGAGCGCACCTCCACGTTCTCGAGCCGCGCGACGAGCGGGGCGCCGGACGCCAGCGCCGACTCGAACTTCTCGCACAGCTCGTGGTAGCGCTCGATCGCAAAGACCTGATTGGTCTGGTGGTTGAAACCGGGGGACTGGTAGTTCCACGAGCCGTCGGCGGCGATGAGTGGGACGCCGAACAAGCTCGACAGGTCCGCCCCGAGCGCCGCCGCGTCGTACTCGTTCCGCGTCATCTGGCTCGGTGGCGGCCGCTTCTGCTTCGCCTTGTCTTCGTGCTCCTATCGGACGAGTTGACGTGTGAGGGTCGAACCCTCCAGCGGCGAGGGCGCCGGCGCGGCGAGGGAGGGTGGGCAAGGCGAGAGTGGCGGTGTGAAACGTGCTATCGGCTCTCCTTGTTGCTGGACTTGGAGTAGAAGGGGCGGCCGCTGCTCATCAGGACGAGTACCTCCTTGCACTGGCGCCGCAGCAGCGTGAGCGAGGCCGTGTTGTCGAGGTTTCCACCGTCACCGAGCTTGAGCGTGTTCCACACGCCCACGTTGGTCTCGAAGCGCGCGGTGGGCATCAGAGCCTCCAAGGCAGCGTTCTCGATCCTGCCCATAAGCGAGAACTGCTTCGAGCTGAGGCTCGCGGCCTCCATCATGGAGCCCGCGCCGAGGTAAAACTCCAGCGAGTTGGCCTTGCCAAAGCCCTGGCTCCATTCGGACGGATGCACACCTGGCACGTGGCCAATGTCGATAGTCTCGCTGATGCAAGCCAAGCCGCTCACCTCGGCCGGGGGGCCCGAGTAGCCGGTCGCCACCTCGCTCGGCGACACCACGTATTGTACGGGCGCGTGGTTGTCGTGCTTCGCGCGCGCCTCCTCGGGTGACGGGCCGTCTATCGTGGCGGCTGCCACGTCGGCGGCGTTGATATTGCCGACAAAGTGCTTGACACGGCGCATCCCAACGCACCCAGGCAGGGTGCACCCGGGAATTGGGCCCAGCTGCGCCACCGATGGGCCATACATCGTGATGCCAATCAGAGGGGTCGAGGCGCAGTACTTGGCCGGAAAGAGGTAGTCGTCCCGGCGGCCGCCTTTGGCGTCCACCTCGGCAGCCGAAGCGGCAAACAGCTTCCCCTGCGGGACGCCAAAGGGCGCGAGGTAGACCCGCCAGATGTTGCGGATCCACGAGATCGCGCCGAAGGGTTGTAGCGAGAGGGAGGATGCGATACACGACCGCGGTATGGAGAGCAGCATCGACCAGTAGGTCATCGGCTTGGTGGACACCGGCTGGCCCATGCTGCGGGGCTCGATTGTGCTGCAGGCCTCGACGGTCAGCTCCGACGGTGAAAGCGCAGCGCGGCCCACGTCGAGCAGCACGTCGCGAGGCACCGACTGGTTGAAGGAGTAAGTGGCCGTGGCCCAGCCGCCGCCACTCGCGCCCGACATCCACTGCTTTTCCAGTGGGTTGTCCAGCGCTCCCTTGACCGCGAGACCGCGCAGCACCCCAAAGGCACACGTGTAGGCACGATTGCCGCCGCCACTGAGCGCGATGCCCGTTCCTCCCATGTCTGGGCCACGCTGCGCCGCTGCCGCCGCCGCAGCGGCCTCCGCACGGCGAGTGGCCAAGAACTTGTGCGTCGGCTTGGGGTGCGTCGGCAGCTTGATCCCCTTGCCGCCGTCGTTGGTGGGGGGCGGCGGCATATGTGTGTGTGTGTTGGCAGCAGAGGGTGGTGCGCGCTGGCGCGCGAGCTTTCCCAGAGCAACAGTGACGGGCGGTGACGACGGGTGTCCCGCGATTCACCAAAGACCGCCTTGATTCGGTTTCGTCCTCCCTTGTTTGCGGAATTTCTTCCCCCCCCACAGTGTTTGGGATGTAGAAGCGGTGCGTATTCTCGTATTATAGTCGAGTGTAAGTGGGAGTGGTGCGTATTCTCCTATTTCAAAAATCTCTCTCTCTCCCAACGAACGGCCAACGCGGACACGGAACTATCCCTCGGAGACCTAGCTCCGAGTAGAGGGGGCGGGCGTTCTGCAGTTAAGGGGAAACCCGGTGCACGGAACCAACACTCGGAGGTGGCATGCTCATGGCCCCCCTGGACTACTTGGATTCCTGGACTGCGCTGTGCGCACCCTCTCCAGCCCCACAGACTCTGAGTGTGCCTGGGTTAGTGACAAGATCTGCGGCAACAGGTCAAAAGAAGAAGAAATCGGCGGGCAGCGACGTACTGGGAGAACAACCCTGTCCTTCTCCCACCCCTCGTTTGGCGTGCCCGTTTTTATAACAACCCACCAAGGGTTGTCTGCTATATTTATTTATGGGAGAACAACGAAGCCGGTAGAGGCTACGAAATGAGGATGCCAGATGGCATGCCGACACTCAAGGAAGGCTCCGTCCCGGCCCGCCTCCCCCAGCGCCAGGGTCAGACTCTAGGTCAGACTCAGATAGGGAGCGGAGCACTTGGAGCACTCGGAGAGTGCAGTCGGCAACCTCTCAGATCCAGAGGGCTCTTTGTTTATTGCTTAATATTGCTCGTACGTCGTTCGAGCCCGTCCCCGCGCCGCGGCATGCGGCACATCCGCCGGCGATCCGGCCCGCGCCCCCCCGCGCTGCCGCTGTGCGCTGTGCCTGTGGGTGCGCTGTTCGCGGGCTTCGCTTAAAACAGAATAAGAGCTCCCCGGCCCTTGATGCATGATGGTGAGACACTTTTTTGGTGAGCTGCGTCCTGCGAGGTTGCCCCCACTTAAAGGCTAGTTCCAATTCACTCTGACACGCTAATCTTGAAAACACGTCCAACGGAGCTCCGTGTTGCTCCCAGCGGAATCCCCCGCGCTTCCTGCGGCCATGGCCGATGATACTAGTATGAGAGATCATCTGGCTACCGCGAGCGCGACTCAACTCGCCGACGTCGTCCGATGATTGTGCCTCAAAGTCAGCCTCCGGAGGCTATCGTGGGGTCGAGCCGGCGGTAGCCGTGACATGTGGTTCCACCACCCCTCGCAGGCTTTGCCTCTGACCGCCACCGTTCCCAGGCTGCATAATTGGATGGAAAGGAAGGCTGGGCGAGCGTATAGAAGCGTGCTCGACCTCGTCGTGGCAACCTGCACGGCAGCGCTGGCAGGCGCGATGAGCGTCGTGCCACCTGACCCGAGACGG